AGTGGGAGAGAGTACCAAGGACAGCTGATGGACATGCATATGTATCAGCTTTATGGCATATTTCTCTGTAAAAGTGATGGTATTGAACATACACATACGCTTCCCTTTCATCTTGTAAAGCATTACAAGTTTGCTGCTTGAAAGTCTCTGAATCACTCAGGAGTCAGTCGCTTTCTTTTTTACTAGATGGTTCTTAATATAGATTTTTTAATTTTCTTGTTACTTCTTCACCTTTTCATTGGTGCTCTGGAGCACAACACCTCATGGATCCATCCATGCATTCTGTCTCACACAGGCCAGCACAAAGGACATTGAATCCCTCTATGCAGCCATCCATCACCGTCTTGTTGCTCTGAGAAACTTTACAAAGCAGGAATTTGGTGTAAATCAGTTGGAATACAAGCTGGATGTTCAGCCAATATCCTGTGACAGCGATGATGAAGAGAATGAAAAAAGAGCTCCAGGGAGCAACAATAGATCAGGTAAAAAAAAAAAAAAGCTTTCACGAGGTTGACATAAACCCTGGTTCTTGCAAGTTATAATTCAATATTTACTTTCCCAGAATATAGCGGGCTAAGTTCACTGCAGGGAGAATTAGGGAAAATATTTTTTGCTGCTGCTTAGTTTGCAAATCTGGTTGGATAATATAAAGTTTAAGGAGGGGAATGTGCATGTTTTAAAGGTTAAAAATTTACACATCTAAAACACGAGGTTCACAAGATGGCAGAGTGAGGTTGGGAAAGGAATAGCTATGAGATTGTCTGCATTATTGTTAAATATATGCATATACTTACACAGATATATATAGCCAACACTCCAGAAGATATGCATATACTTACACAGATATATATAGCCAACACTCCAGAAGACAGGCTTAGGATACAGGAGGATCTGGACAGACTTGAACACTGGGCGCTATATAACAAAATGAAATTCAATGGTGAAAAAAGTAAGGTTCTACATTTAGGCAAGAAAAACCAAATGTACAGGTATAGTATAGGGGTACCTTGCTCAATAGTAGTAACTGTGAGAGGGACCTCAGAGTCCTAGTGTACAATCACTTAAATATGAGCCAGCAGTGTGCTGCAGCTGCCAAAAAAGCCAATGCGGTGCTGGGCTGCATTAACAGAGGGATAGAATCAAGATCACGTGAAGTATTAATACCACTTTACAATGCCTTAGTAAGGCCATACTTGTAATACTGCATCCAGTTTTGGTCACCACGATGTAAAAAAGATGTTGAGACTCTAGAAAGAATACAGAGAAGAGCAACAAAGATGATCAGGGGATGGAGGCCAAAGCATATAAGGAAAGGCTGCTGGAATTGGGTATGTCTAGTTTAATGAAGAGAAGGACGAGGGGGGACATGATAGCTGTATTCCAATATCTCAGGGGCTGCCACAAAGAAGAGGGAGTCAAGCTATTTTCCAAGGCACCTGAGGGCAGGACAAGAAGCAACGGATGGAAACTAATCAAGGAGAGAAGCAACCTAGAACTAAGGAGAAACTTCCTGACAGTTAGAACAATTAACCAGTGGAACAACCTGCCTCCAGAACTGGTGAATGCTCCAACACTGGAAGTTTTTAAAAAGAGACTGGACAGCCATTTGTCTGAAATGGTATAGGGTTTCCTGCCTGAGCAGGGGGTTGGACTAGATGACCTCCAAGGTCCCTTCCAACTTCTTTATTATTATTATTATTATTATTATTATTATTATTATTATTATTACTATTATTATTATTATTATTATTACCAGGTGCGCTCGCTCGCACACACACACACACACACACACACACACAGGTTTACAAATGCACCACAAGAAAAAGACAGCTCAGTGAGGTGGGAAGGGAAGCAAAATAACACTCCAGGTTTAGCAATTGGACAGAAGAACTTCTTAACATTGAGCAAACCTGCTGGACAGGCTTGCCCTGGTACCTCCAAACTGATAGGCAAACACTTGTGTTATTCTGATATAAACATTCAGTGCAGTAATTTGCAGATAATCTCACTATGGTTTTGACTCTTTCTCCACCACCTCCAGAAACAGTTAAGGGTTTATCCTTCCAATCCCCAGGGTCTTCCACAGGGTCAGCAGCTTCATCTCTCTTCCACAACTATGTGAATATTCTCACCGCTCCCCCCTACATTGTGCTCAGTTCCCTCCAGCTAGTCCTTAGGAAGGGTGAGGAGCAAAACAATGGTAACCAGCTAGATCAGCGATCTTCAGACTTGGCCCTTTTATGACTTGTGGACTTCAACTCCCAGAATTCCTCAGCCAGGCATGCATGGCTGAGGAATTCTGGGAGTTGAAGTCCACAAGTCATAAAAGGGCCCAGTTTGAAGACCCCTGAGCTAGATGGTCGCATCCATCTAGGAGTCTATGGAGATTCTCAGTCATACAGGTCATGGTTGTCCCAAAGTGCTTTTTCAAGAGGCAATTGGACTTTCTTGTTTTTCTTTGAAGATGTTTCACTTCTCATCCAGGAAGCTTCTTCAGCTCTGACTGGATGGTGGCTGTTTCAGCTGGCAGGACTGGCCTAGGGATATTTTAAATTGGATTTTAATCAACTTTTAAAATAAGAAAAGGCCTATTTAAATATATCTTTTAATTTATTTTAAATTTTGTATATTTGTATCAATTGCTCTGTTTTTAACTGGCTGTAAGCCGCCCTGAGTCCACCAGGAGAAGGGCGGGATATAAATACAATAA